AAAAAGCTTTTCCAAATTGTAGTTAAGATTGCCATGTGAGAATGCATTTGCCCTGTGGTGCTAATTTAAAAGCATAGCTCCCTAAAACCAGAGAAATAAACAAAGTTAAAATATCTGAGAATAAACTGCTGCCAAAATAATAAGTAAGTACAGTTGTCCTAAGTGTGGAGAAAGCTGTATTTCACCATGATGCAACAATTTATTGCTGGTCCCCAAATAAATACTGCTTTTTCATTAATCATCCCAAACTATGAATAATGCAAACACTTTCTGGAAAGGAGTGCTTATATGTACCAACTCCTAATGCACTTTATCAGTTATTCATAGGCGACTGTAAATCAGGATTTTCCTGTCAAAAAGCCAACATTCCTTTACCTTAAAAAAAAAAAAAAGAAAAGAAAAAGTCCTGTTGTGATTTGCTGTGTATGAAAATCTCTTCCTAAATTAGTTTAATGTTAAAGAGAAAACAAGTATTTAAATGCCTGGCACTACAGTGAAGGTAGAAAATGTCTCGGTCTGCAGGTCAGAGGGAAGGTGGTTGTTTTTCAAAATGTCATATTAGTGCATACAGACTTATCAGCTGGGCAGGGTAAGGCTCTTGAAGGCAACACCTGCGCTATTCCTGGAGTTAAGTGTTTTCTTCGGTGGTCACTGTAAGGGTAAACATGGTCATGTTTGACTTACCCTACCTAGTATTGAAGGAAATGTTTTAAGCTCCTGCTTTCCACAGGACCTTCTAGAAAGGATGCTGCTCTGCACACAGGCACGAGTAAGGACTTTCACTCCAGAAAGTTGCAGCCCCTGAGGTTGAGACTGCACCAAGTTGCTGGGGAAGCTACATCCGCAAGGAGCAGGAGGTTATGGTCATCCTTGCTGATGTAGCCCTGTTGGCAAAAGCGCTGGTGAAGGCATGATTGTGCAGGCTTTTGGCTTGTAAGGTAAAGCTGGCAGAATTTAGTTGCCATCGTGAGCTCCTGCTCTGCCAAAGGTTTTACTGGTATCCCTGTTGGTGTAGCTTTCTTGGCAAACTCCTGGATGTTACAGTTGAAAGGAGGAAAATCTGGATGATGCCTGGGAACCCAGGAGCAATCAGGGCTTCAAAACTACTTTGATACCTCCAGTTCATTAAAGTACAAGGAGATCAGAAACACTGAATCACAAAGAAAAGGCTATTATGCCAAGTTAGTAATACCAAAAAAAGTAATTGCATGTTATTTGAAGTGCATATGTTTGTGTCTTCCTTTGGAGTGTGTGTTTTACATTTGGGCGTAGAGAGGTTGATAGTTAAAATATACTGAATACAACTAAGCCCAGTGGGGAGGTGGTAGGAAATTTTTAGGCCAGTAACAAGGATAAATTTGAAGGATAAACTCCCTTTGCAGTTCTCAGGCGTCCAGTGTGAACCTGTATTATATGATCTGCTGAGTTTTACTGTATGGTTCTGTGCAGTGTCCTAGCCAAAATCCCCGGGGAGCTGGTGCCTTTCCTCAGAGCTTGTTACGGGAAGTGTCTACACAAATAGGCAAAGAAGGCTTTACTTTGAAGGTGTTAGGATAAGGAGGAGAAAGTACAGGTGTTGCCTCTCCAGTCTTTGTGCATACACCTTACATGGGTGGCTTCTGCCCTGTGTGTATTTACAAGAAATATTCAGTTAGCTGTTTGCAAACCCCTGGCTCTTCTTATCTTAAATTGCTTGATTACCCGACTGTCCCCAAGCAAATCAGTTACCTTTGCTCGTTTAGCATCAGTGACCTCAGACTTCCCTCTTCTCCAGTTACTTTTTACATTCAGCTTCATAGATGCCTGCGACTATGCCTGGCTTCAGGGCAGTTTCCTTCCCCCCTCTTGTAGGCGATGTGCATCTACTTATTTTTCCACTCTGCTTTCCATACTAATTGTTTTCACTGGATTCATTAGAGTAGTTGCTCATACTTTATTCAGAGAAATCAATTTGTTCTTTCCTTCCCCACACCCTTGAGAAATGTCTTGAAGTGTGCCAAATTGAGTGGCCAAAAATTTTTTGAGGCAAATTCCATTGTGTCCTTTTAATTGCAAATCGTGTTGTGGAATTCTGTTCTTATTTTAAAAAGAAAAAGAGAAAAGAGAAGTTGGGCATGTTCTTTCTAGGCATGCTTTGTGGGTGTTATAATTATTAGACTCTGTTCTCTACAAGTCCCATTTGTTTCTGAATATAGAGCTAGGCCCTTTGTTTGCTGGGAGAGGTCAGTTTTTGCTTTCCATTTCCATTTAGTAGGTAGGTGGGAACAGAAATGTCAGTGTGTTCCTCTGGAAGGGAGGCAAAGAGGGGAATTTAATACACGTTCCTAGCAGGCTTTTCTTTTTTCCCCCTTTATTAGAATATAACTCAACCCATTAGCATGTGAAGTGCTTGCCATCCACTTGGTCTTTGTAGGCTTTCTGAGTTTGGCTGCTGAAAATATTCTGTCCTACAGCTTGAAAGGTTGTTTGGCAGGGTTTGCTGGTGTTCAGCAGTCTGTTACAAGGCTGGTGATGCAGTTTATAGTCACCTTTCTGCTATCTTAGTCCTCCGTAACTCCAGTGAACGGTGACACTGTTCATCCATAGCTGTTCCTAATTCCTCCAGCAATTCCTAGAGCCAAAGTATTTACCTCAGAGAAGAGCCTGTGGGTGGAAGAGCCACACACAGTTCATAGTCTCCCTTGCCATGGCTGCCTCACAGCAAATACTGTCAAAAAAAATCTAACTAAGGAGCTTTGCCAGGCTGTCACACTGCACTTGAAAGGGGCTATTAGCCTTTCTGCTGTGAAGACTTCTTTCTAGCGAAAAGGCCTCTAAATCCAGGGATTTTTGCCTAATTAGTACTCCTTTCCTTTGCCTTTATACTCATCCTTGCTGAGGCTTCTTCCAGTGCTGGAGTCTTCATTGCTGCTCAGGACAGCTGAGCCATTGCAGGCAGATCCTCTGGCCAGAGCTGGTGTAGGACGTATGCAGCACTCACCAGCCCTGCCCTTGTGAACGAGAGAAACAGAAATGGAGGTTGACATGATCCCTCACCTGACTCATGTAAAGAAGCTGTTACTCCCCCATAAAGAGCTCCTCGCTGAAACTGAGACTTCAAAATCCCCCTTTCACTTTGGTATATTTCACTTTGGTACGGCTGAGGGAACTGAGGCTGTTTAGCCTGGAGAAGAGGAGGCTGAGGGGAGACCTCATCGCTCTCTACAACTACCTGAAAGGAGGTTGTAGCGAGGTGGGTGTTGGTCTTTTCTCCGAAGTAACAAGTGATAGGACGAGAGGAAATGGCCTCAAGTTG